TTGGAACGGAGGGATTGCAGTGCCTGCCGTGCCCTGCTACAAGGCTGTGCTCTGGAGGTGTTGCCAGAAGCCTTCCTGCTAGACTCCGTTCTCAGAGAACAGCTTCAGATGTTTTACGTTCGCAGTGCTTGTTGGAGTCTTCAGCCCGTATCTGTTCCAGGGAAGAGGCCAGTGGCTTCTCTGCCCTCCCGGGAGCCGCTGCCGCTTCAGCAGAGCTGCCCCCTCCTCCCTTGCCCCTGCCGCTGCTCCCTCACGAGGTGCAGAAAGGCTTCTTGATGTTTCAGCCCTTTCCAGGCTCTGCTGGTTTGCTTTTTCATCCAGGGAGACTCTTACGCTATATGTAAGCAAGTATTTACCACGTAAAATGATAGTGAAAAATGGCTCATCCTTTTTTTTTTTTTTTTTTTTTTTCCCCCCCCCTCCCCGTTCCTTGATAAAAAAGTCACGGCAACAGAAACGTTGATGTCAATTTTCTCTCCGAGTCTAGGTCTTCCTAATATGCAGGAACACACTCCATCAATTTCCTGAATTCGCTGGCTGGAAACACTAGACCTAGTCTTGGTGCCACGGTGAAAAATTCTTCATTCCTATGTAAGGTTCAGATGTGTGACATGATCTTATTTCAGCAGAGAGGTCTTGCTGGAAGTCTAAGGATCTGCCATCTTTACAATTATCTTTTTACCAGCACTGCCATCAACAAGATCTTTTAGTTTTGTTTCTGGGAGGAGATTCTTATCTTCCCACTGTTCTACAGCCCTTAACATTGCTCCTAAGTCTGAAAAGCTAATAGAAGATTTATCCCATATCAGGACATGGTTACTTTTAATTCCAGCCCCAGTTGTTCTAGACTTGATCTCTTGTCTTCTCAACAGGAACATTATTTGCATGCTGGCTTAGTGTAACTAGTGCAACACTCCAATAGATTGGTTCCTTCTGCCTTTTTTTTTTTTTTTTTTTTTATTTTCTTGGCTTCTTATATCTACTCTTGTTTCAATGGATGCTTGATCCTCTCTTCTAACTTTTTATTAGCAAAAAGAGTTATTTTTAAAGGGGATTCCATAACATGCAGAAACAATTGCCTGCAATTTGTAATTTAAGCAGAATTTGTTCCAATTTTCTATATCATCTATGAATGGGTCTAACTTGCATCATAGAACCATCATGCATGTGTAATTGAAATGTAACTCAATCAGAAGAACGCTATTAAGTTTTGCATTCCACTTAGGTTTTGGAAAGAAATCACAGCAGCAGTAAAATTGGTTTTGAAAGATAAATGGAATAGTTATGAATCCATTTTGTGTATTTCAATATAGAGACAAAGTAAACATCCATAGTTATAGTTCTGCTTTCATTTTCATTAGCTGTCACATGAGATCTCTTTCATGTTAACCAAATGTAGTTCTTTTCTGTCCTACTTGAAATACGTCCCTGCAAGTCTTCTGTATTTGGGACACAGATTGTTTCTTACCGCTCTAATTTACAGCTTTTAAAAATAATTTATCTGCAACAGATGCGACATTGTTGGTTCTTCAGGTAGCATGATAAATTGAATTTTGTGACTAAAACAGTCATATATCTATTTTTAAAATTCATGCTGTTTCCCAAACATTTTTAAAGTTCAGTTTATTCTGAATGGTCTTTCAGTCAAACCTAAACACTCATCCCTCCACCCCCCAGTTGCACACTTGTCTGCTAGCTGAACAGATTAAAAAATTGAAATGTTCATAGCATAATGTGAAATTCTTGTGCGATTTTCATTTTTGTCATTAATATATTGTGGTTTCATTCCTTCCTGAACAAACTCTTTCCTTTTCCAGAAGTACTTATACTACTTGTATAATGACAAGAGGGCCATTCAGTTAGAAAATGCGATCTCTCCAGTTCTGCTTTCAGCAAAGGAATGATTTTTACTGGCCACCCAAATGTCAGACTTCTGTTGTAGGTTGTCTGTATTTCAGTTATCAAGGACTATTAGAATGGTACAGCATTTAGCTTCAGGGATTTTAGTCTCAGAACAATTTGTATATGTGCACACAGTGATTAAGTCTTTAAGAGAGCAACGGCAGAGCATATTGAACGCAATAATCACTTAAGCTTCAGTATCAAATGTGATTTAGGGGGGGAAAGATGAAATACTTTATTGAGAATGGTGTTGAGGAGTAATTTTTATGACAGCTGATTAAAAATTCCATCCTAGATTAACACGCTGCAGTCATAAGTCAAATTTCAGATCCCTAGTACACTGCTGCCCACGAGTTAGACCTAAAATATGGTATTGGGCTTGCGTGGCAAGGTTTTAGTAGCAGGGGGGCAGAGAGGGGTGGTTTCTGTGAGAAGGTGCCAGAAGCTGCCCCCACGTCTGGCAGAGCCAGTGCCAGCCGGCTCCAAGCCGGACCCGCCGCTGGCCAAGGCCAAGTTCATCAGCCGTGGTGGCAGCTCCCCGGGGGTAACGTGGTTAAGAAGGGGAATAGTTCCTGCACAACAGCAATCGCAGCAGGAGAGAGAATATGTGAGAGGAACGACTCTGCAGACACCAAGGTCAGCGGAGAAGGAGGGGCAGGAGGTGCTCCAGGTGCCGGAGCAGAGATTCCCCTGCGGCCCCTGGGGAAGACCGTGGTGAGGCAGGCTGGGCCCTGCAGCCAGGGAGGTCCAGGGGGGAGCAGGTGCCCACCTGCGGCCCGGGGGGGTTAACGGTGGGGCAGGTGCCCACCTGCGGCCCGGGGGGGTTAACGGTGGGGCAGATGCCCACCTGCGACCCGTGGGGGTTAACGGTGGGGCAGGTGCCCACCTGCGGCCCGGGGGGGTTAACGGTGGGGCAGATGCCCACCTGCGGCCCGTGGGGGTTAACGGTGGGGCGGGTGCCCACCTGCGACCCGTGGGGGTTAACGGTGGGGCAGGTGCCCACCTGCAGCCCGGGGGGGTTAACGGTGGGGCGGGTGCCCACCTGCGGCCCGGGGGGGTTAACGGTGGGGCAGGTGCCCACCTGCGGCCCGGGGGGGTTAACGGTGGGGCAGGTGCCCACCTGCGGCCCGGGGAGGACCCCACCCCAGAGCAGGCAGCCGTGCCCAAAGGAGGCTGTGACCCCGTGGGAAGCCCACGCTGGAGCAGGCTCCTGGCAGGACCTGGGGGCCCGTGGAGAGAGGAGCCCACGCGGGAGCAGGTTTGCTGGCAGGACTTGTGCCCCCGGGGGGGACCCGCGCTGGGGCAGCCTGTTCCTGAGGGACTGCACCCTGGGGAAAGGGCCCGTGATGGAGCCATTCCTGGGGAGCTGCAGCCCGGGGGAAGGACTCACGTTGGGGAAGCTCGTGGAGGACTGTCTCCCGTGGGAGGGACCCCACGCTGGAGCAGGGGAGGAGTGTGAGGAGTCCTCCCCCTGGGGAGGAAGGAGCAGCAGAGGCAACGTGTGATGAACTGACTGCACCCCCTGTTCCCTGCTCCCTTGTGGCACCCAGCGGGAGGAGGTAGAGAAACTGGGAATAAGGTTGGGCCTGGGAAGAAGGGAGCGGTGGAGGGAAGGTGTTTTTAAGATGTGGTTTTATTTCTCATTATCCTACTCTGATTTCATTGGTAATAAATGAAACAAATTTCTCCAAGTTGAGTCTGTTTGGCCAGTAATGGTAGTTGCTGAGTGATCTCTGCCTGCCCTTGTCTTGACCCATGAGCCTTGCTTTATATTTTCTCCCCCTTCTCCTGCTGAGGAGGGGAAGGGTGGAGTGGCCTCGGCGCGCACCCAGAATCCAGCCAGGGTCAACCCACCACAAATATGGAGGCGCTTATCGTTCTTGGAAGCTGCTGATTGTATTTATTCCTCTACATGTATCTACCAAGAAATTATCCTGGATTTATTCTGAGCATTCCTGTGTAATTCTGTGTTCTTTATTTCTGAATTACAAGAGTAAACACCAGTAAATTTAAAAGTGAAATGAAGCACATGCTTTTGAAAATGGGCAGAGTACTAGTGTTTTTTAGCAAAAGATCACAGTACAGAAGTGCAGCATTGTGACTAAAATGTAAATCTACCAATTCCAGTTTTATCTCAAATGAATGTTTACTTCACATTTCAGCTGCCCAATTTTCTGATTGACTGACTGAAATGGATGATGTATACAGCTTATTGATATGCATTGTTTCAGAAAAGTGAGATTAGTGTTTTAATTAAATATCACTCCTGTAACAGAACTAGAAACTAGTATTTTAGAAATTGCAAAATAAATTTCTTAAAGATCTTCACAAATGCAAAGCTACATGAAATAGATATTGAATCAAAAATGGCTTGGAAAAGTTCCAGTGGCATGTTTTGTGTGTAACCCACTACTAAATGGTGAATATTTTATAGGGAAAGCTGAGTAATTTCCAGTCTATTTTGTTTTTTGGTTTAAATTCTGTAAACTCTGCACCAGTTGCCTTGTTCATTGATTTATTTGACTTCATTGTTGCAACCATTAGCAAAAGACTTTGTTTTCTACATGGGTATTAGCAAGCTCAGTTTTTGTACAAAAATACAACCTTTTTTTTTTTTTTTGTCTTTTTTAGATTCTTCTTTCCTCAGTCATTCTTTCCCCACGGCTTTTAGATGCCATGTTGAAATTTAATGTACATAATGTCTCCACAGACTCAATGAGGTATAAATATTTGGTATGATGGAACTCCATCCTCTTTCCCCCTTTCTGTGTTTTTTGTTTTTTTTTTTTTTATTTTTTTTATTTTTTATTTTCTGATGTCTGTTTTTGGTTTTGTTTTTTTTTTTTAAGGCCACATCTGACCTAGCAGTACCTCACTATTGAAAAGTCCTACCTGCAGCAACCATTATATGCTGAAGATGCCAGACAGCTGCTTTTCAGCACACAGTCTTAATCAGTTTTCAGGACACTGCTGCTACAGCAGTTCCTCACCAGCTATCTTAGCTTCACACTGTTAAGTGGGTTTATTTTTCTGTCGTTTTGAATAGTGATAGTGTTTCTTTTCTTATTCTTTTCTGCCAGAGGCAGTGGGGCCACTGAATGGCACAGCCCTCCGGATGAAAGCAGATCTGTGTGGCAAGTCCTTCATGAAGTACTGCTTCTGGCTATGTTTTTGCATCCTGCCAGGAGCCTGACTGCTGCTCCTGAGAAGTCCTAAATTCGCCCCTTGCCTCCTGAAAGGCTGATTAAGGTGGGTAGCTTGTCAGTGTTTTGAATTTTCTTAAGTGTTTGGGATGTTGATAGGAACTGGGAACTTCAGCTTGTCTCTCCATTTTTGGAGCTGTCTAGTTTTTTTGTTTTTTTTTTTTTTTTTTTTTTTTTTTCTTCTCTAAATGCCTTCTGCTACCTTACTTGCTCACTTTCAGAGGGAGAAGCATCCAATTAAGTCTGCCAGATATATGCTGAACTCATCCCTTCTCCCTCCTCCCCCACACTGTGCTCTCATCTGAAGCACAAGAGAAAAGAGCAGAAAGAACTGAGCAGTCTGAGGAGTCCACGTAGCTGGCAAGCAACAAACACAGTTTCTCTGCTATTTTCCTCTTTTATGTTTAGTGTAGGCAGGGGGTTCGGGGTTCTGCTAAGGCCTGTCATGACCTGGGAGAGCAGAGTGAAGAGGACTTGTTGAATAAATGAGGCTAAGGTTCAGTCAGAACGGATGGTTTGAAGTCTGGGGTCAAAAACCTCAGAGGAGTTTGAGGTAGGCAGCAGGCAGGTGTGCAAATTGGAGTTTAGAAAGCACTTACTTATCTTACATATGGAAAAAAGGCCTGATTTGGAGGCTGGGCAGTAAAACAAAGGGATTAGCAGGGAGCTGATAGTATTTTGATGGTTTTGGGTGTACTGAAATGATGTCAGGCAGACACTGCTTTGTCTGCTTGACCTCTACAGTACCTCTCTGTTTAGTTTTCTGACTCTGTCTCAGCCCTTGGGATTACTTTTCTTTAGAGGTACTATTGCCACAGAACAAGTAGCAACAGTGGGATGCCTCAGTGTTTTACAAATTCTGCTTGTGTTCCCTGTTTCAGTACATGGAAACTTTAATAGACATCAGGGAAGTTGTTATCCAAGAGTAATTTGATGCTACCTCTGTGTTTTCTCCCTCTCCTTAAAAAAGTTTGGATTTACTGACCTTATACTTCAACACTATTTTCTGGTCCCAGCTCAGCATTCAAAATGATTTTTCTTAGAGATAAGATAAGACAAAGAGAAACAAGAGAAAAGGGTGTGCCTCTATTTTCTCAGCGTGGTTTTCACCATCCACTTTATCTGGATGTTCTAGGTAATGTATAAATTAAGTATTACTGCTACAGGAAGAAGGCTGAATGGTTTGAAGGGCCTGGCAATGGGACTTGGTGGTTTCTTTTGTTCTATTTACATTTAGTTTGTCCTAATACTTTTACATCAGTGACATATTCCAGAAACCAAGATGATGGTTTGTATTTCTTTGTGAGGCTGAGAAAAAAAAAAAGTAGAATGCAGAGGTCTAGGTAAAAAAAGTAATTCTCTGTTTTGAAATATATTGGCACACACAAGATGAGGACATGGGAACCACCAACACCACTCTCCTTAAAACTGGAGGAAGCCTTACAGCAGAGCTTTCCCTCTGCTAGTGCCCACAGATCATCTGCCCCAGGACTCTTCCACTCCTTGCCCAGACACGTCCCCAGCCTCACAGGGAGCTGAATGCCCGCAACACAAGAAATGATACCCACAGCATGCCATAGGGAGCAGGAGAGACAGACAGTGCTGCCAGCATATAGCCTAGGCCCCTGCAATAACTAGGGATTTGCCAAATGAAAATGGACCTAAAGGAACTTCTTCCCGAGTCTTGCATCAGACTGGCTTTTTCTTCTGGATCTCCATGCAGGTGGCTCACAAACTCACCCCACTCACATCTACCTCCAGGAGAGGCGTGCCTTCCCTCACCTCCACTATGTTTTCCACCCTTCCCTTCCTAATAATTTTCCCCAGTGCTTAGCATTTGATGACAGTTTGGGGTGTTTCATACCAGCAGCCCCATCCACTCACCGTGTCTGCATACCTCTTGCCCAGTCCCCGCATCCCACTTCACTCCTAACGTTACAGAAACAACCACCATGATCACCATGCTCTTCCCTGGACTTGCAAGCAACAAGTGACTTATGCAGACTCCTACAAAGGTCAGGCTTTTGTGGATCTGAATTATAAACTTTCCCTGGGACTCTGCTTGACAAAGCGCACAGTTATTACAACATCAAAAGCAAGAGATGGGAGGAGAAAGGGGAAGAAAGGCTGGGCAGTTCCATTCCCCACAGTTTTTTTTGATCAACCTTCAGAGGTTTCAGGCAAATGCAGGGTTGTAATGAAAATGTTGCAGTGGATAATATTCTACAGGTCTAAACTGTACACACAAGTGTACATACTATATAAAAATACTTTGGATAATTTTGTACTAAACTTTATATTCTCCTGGAAGCAAGTAAACTAGAATATACTCAAATTCTTTGTTTAGCTCTCTTCTTTATCTAAGGTTCATATTTTCTTCTAACGTGGTGGTAGGAGAACTGTGAAATACAAATAGTTTCTCTTTTTACTTTTCACCAGTGTGGACAATATTGACTGCTCCCACTCACTGAGGTTATCTATATTTGGTAGACAACAAATGCACTTTGGCAATGCAGATTTTTTCCAAGGCTTTCTCAATTCTGCTAATGTAAAACTTTGTGTTGATTATTAAAAATGCTATTTTGCCCAAGTACCTTCTAAAAGACTATATTCCTTTTCATGGCAATGACCCTGGACTTTAACCTGTATTTTTTACCACTGTTACAAAATTGTCTCCTCCTCCCAGGCCTACTACACAACATTTTTGACCAAGTTACAGTTTCACTTGAGAATATTTGACTTGTGATGACCCAAACATTCTGGAAAACATTTCTTAAAACTTTGATCTTTTCTCATTTTCCAAGCTGTACACTCTAACCTGACACTTCTTGTTCAGAGAAATAAGGGCTGTATAATTTCTGAACCTTCCTAATGGGCTGGTTTCGCACTTGCCTTTGCTAAAATGCTCTTCTAAATACTAGAATGTGAGATATAGTTTAAAAGTCTAGTCCTGTACAGTATAAACATTATCTAAAAGTATTTTTTTTTTGTTTGTAAAAATCCTGTATGAAATGCCTGTGCTTTTCCAAGTCCTCAATATACACTTGATTTCTCTAAGTGTTCTGGGTATATCTTAGCACAAGACCTCATTGCCGATGCTTCTGTTCAGTCACAATCATGACCTTCACTACAGAAGCACAGGAGTGTTGGGCTTCTCAGGCAAGAAAGGAATGCTTTTTTGTGGCACTAGAATGGTTAACAGCTGGCATCATCAAGATGTCACTATTTCAACTTTTGCCCTGGTTTGGGACTTTAGTGCTGCTTTTGTTGTTTTTCCAGTTGCGCATTCTAATTTCTCATGGGCAGCCCCTCTCCCCGCCACCCTCATTTGTTCAGCAGTTTAGTAAACTGTTTCCACTTGTATTGTATGTGTTAACTATGCCAGAAGCAACAGTTGTAGATTTTACAGCTGTTACATAGGTGGTCTGAATATTATCACTTGGTCTTAAATACCAGATCTTGGTAATATAGCTATAGTGTCAATGATTACACTATTTAAAATATGAAACAGTCAGTATTGGTACAGCATTGTCTCATTTAAAAATACTTTTGACAGATTTTCTCGGACGATGGATGTTTTTGAGAAATTAGTCTTTGAACACTAGTCTTTCTAACTGAACTGTTTCTGGAATCACAGCAAAGAGCAGGCTATTTGGCAACTAAGATGACTAAGGGCGCAGTTGCCTCTGTCAGCATTACTTTGAGAAGCGGATGGCTCACGGTCATTTTTTTGGTGTGGAGCATGAAATGGAGCTGGTTCCACGGGAACACTGACTTCTTGCCCCTGTCTGTGTTGGATTTAGACAAAAACATGTTAGCCCTAACTTCTGCCTCGTGCTGGCAAGTGGCATCTTTGCTGCTTTAGAGCAGATTTCAGGAAATGGATTCTCTGTATTGGAACGATGCTTCTGCATTGCATTACCACAGTGAAAAGGTGTAAGCTGATGCTGATCCTGTCACATCTTTGCCTAGTAGTTTTCCTTCTTTCTTTCTGGTTTTTGTTTTTTTTTTTTTTTTTTTTTTTTTGTTTTGTTTTGTTTTTTTTTTTCAGAAAAGGTTTTCTTCCTGCTGTTTTCTTTGATATATTCATAACACTTGAAAAAGCTGAAGACCAGATAAATTTCCTTCCTCTTCTTATCCAACACTTTCCCTGTGCTTTGGACAAACTTCTGCTATGCCTAGCACAGCCTTCTTCCTACATACTTGTAGTTGCTCTTTGCATTTGCGTGACAATACCCGAGTTGGCAGACACAACTTCCCTTGGCCCTCCAAGACAGGAGAAAAGAGCACCCAGGGATGATGCCATATGACGGATAAAGGAGGAGCAGGATGTCCAACCCTGCAGTGATGAACATGAGACTGAACAAGTCCCTCCTGTTTCTAATGAGAGCACAAATTAAGCCAGTGGATTCTCATCCCTCTTGTTTCCAAAAAAGCTTTGGAAATTGGTGGAAAGCAACCGGTTTATGTCCGTTTGGTGGAGTGAGGGTGGAAAATGCATTGCCATCAGTGAAGACCTATTCAAACAGGAAGTGCTGGACAGGGCAGGACCTCTGTGCATCTTTGCAACAGAGAGCAAGAGGAGTTTAATTCAACAGCTCAACCTTCATAGAATCATTTAAGTGCAACAGGGTTTCCAAAGATTGGCCTCATGTCCTGAGTTCATGATGAAATAGGCATCATCTTCTGCTCAGAGCAAGGTACAGCAGTTGTTCTGTGCATCAACCAACTGATGTTCACGTAAGATGAGGCCTTGTAATACAGGCAATGAGGATAGCAGTGAGTGGTCTGGTTTTAACTTCCTTTACAGTTTATTTTCAGGAAGTTTTGACTTAAGTCTTTCTGATTAGTAGAAACGTGGGTAAGATGCATTGTGGTTATATGTGCTTAGATTGACCCTGTTCAGTGGAAAGACAGACTCAGCGTAACCTGATTTCTTTATGTGCCACGTTTATTGCTGTACCAAATCTGAAATCTTCCTGTGGCACATGCTGAATGCCAAGAAGATACATTTAAGGATGATAGTATTATCTGCATGCTTGTTCC